GGCATGACAGCGGGGGCTGCCTGCCGCAGGTACCCCGACGCCCGACGTCGAGCCGTGGCCTTTTTCGCGGCGCGGCTCCCCAGAGATCCGGACCCCTTCTCGGGCAGGACCGGCGTTCCGTCACGAGCCGTTTTCTTCGGATGGCCCTGGGGCCCAGCAAGAGCCCCCGGAGGCAGAAGAGTGTCAGAATCGTCCGTCGCGCTTCGCGACGCCAGGAGGTCTGGGTACCGAACTGGTCAGACTGCGAAAGGTGTCCCTGGCTGCGCCGTGCTGTGCCAGCGGGGTCGGCAGCAGCGGGCTGCCGGCACGCACCAGAGTCTGGAACTGGCACTGCAGACCAAACGTGCAGACGATGGGGCGACGTCGTCGCCAATGACGCCAGCCATCAGCAAAGGGACAAGCTGCAGCGAAACGAGACGTGCACCTCCCGTTCCTTCCTCCTCCCTCCGCCTCCTCCTCCTCCTCCTCCTCCTCCTCCTCCTCCTCCTCCTCCTCCTCCTGCTCCTCCTCTCCTCCTCCGCCTGCTCCTCCGCTCCTCCTCCTCTCGTCCTCCTCCTCCTTTTCTTCTCTTCTTTTCTTCTTCTTCTCCCCTCCTCCTCCTCCTCCTCCTCCTCCTCATCCTCAATACCCTCCGCCTCCTCCCTCACTCCTCCTCCTCCTCCTCTCCCCTCCTCATCCTCTCTCCTCTCGTTCCTCCTCCTCCTCTCATCTCCTCCTCCTCTCCTCCTCCTCCTCCTCTCCTCCTCCTCCTCCTCCTCTCGTCCTCCTCCTCTCCTCCTCCTCCTCCTCCTCCTCCGCCTCCTCTTCCTCCTCCTCCGACTCCTCTCCTCCTCCTTCCTCTCCTCCTCCTCCCACTCCTCCTCCTGTCTCCTCCTCCTCCTCCTCCTAGCTCTCCTTCCTCCTCCTCCTCGCCTCCTCCTCCTCCTACGCCCTCTTCCCGTCTTCCTCCTCCTCCGTCCTTCTCCTCCTCTCTCCTCCTCCTCCTCCTCCTCCCTCCTGACCCTCATCCTTCATCATCATCATCATCATCATCCAGACAATGTCAGTCATCATCATCATATCATCATCATCATCATCATCATCATTCATCATCATATCAGTCTCATATCATCATCATATCATCATTCATCATCATGCATCATCATTCATCCATCAATCATAACATCATTAATTCATCATTCATCTATCATCAATCAGCATCAGCAACATCATTTCATTCATAGCATCATCAAGATCATTCATCATCAAAATTTCATCATCAGCATTCATCTATCAGTCATCATCATCTCATCATCAATCTTCATCCTCAGCAGCATCCTATCATCGCATCCTCTTCCGCTCCTCCTCCGCCTCTGCTCCGCCTCCCGCCTCCGCTCCTCTCCGCCTCAGTTCCGCCCAATCGCTCCGGCCTCCGCCTCGCCTCGCCTCCTACTCCCCTCCTCCTCTCCTCCTCCTCTCCTCCTCCTCCTCCTCCTCCTCCTCCTCCTCCCTCCTCCTCCTCCTCCTCCTCCTCCTCCTGACGCTGACGCTGACGGCCGCGCAGCGGTCTGTCCACCGTAGCCGCTAGCCGATCACCTGGGGGACCTACGCCTGCCTCCACCCTTCCCATATTCTCCCGAAGACCAGAGGTTGGTGGAGGTGGAGGATAGTCCTGGCCCCTGCGACGGGGCTCGAACTCCTCACTCGCTCACAGGTCGCAAGGTCCAAGTGCTGGCCGAATTTGTCCTTCGCGAACTTGGGCCTAACCCCTCGCCCTGCCGGGGTGGGCCGCGCCCTGGGGCCTACCCCCTCGCCCCGCGGGGGTGTTGAGGCCTTGTGGCGGCCGTCGGAGTGCTCGCCGTGCGAGTCGTCGTGGAGCCGCGCGTTCTCGTAGCAGCTGTCGTCGTGGAGCTGCTCGCGCCTCGTGGCGGCCGTCGGAGCGCTCGCCGCGCGAGTCGTCCTGGGGCCGCGCGTTCTCGTAGCAGCTGTCGTCGTGGAGCTGCTCGCGCCTTCTGTGGTCCGTCTCTCGCTAACCGTGGGCCTCATTCTGAGCGAGTTGCAGGAGGGGCGCCCACATCGTGTCAGCTGCGAGCACGGCGCTCGGGTTGTCGGGGATCCACTCGGCCATGTCATCGCCGTCGAGGGATGCCCAAGCTTCGGCGGCGGCGGTCCTTCCCACGTCGCCGCCTTCTCTTGAGTGCCACCGTTTGAAGCTCACGTAAGCCGAGAGCTCGGTGATCGAAACCTCAGTGAAGGAGGTCTGCAGATCCGTCGGGAGCGTGGCGAACGTGGCGGGAGCGCCCATCACCTGCACTTGGGTTAGGCGCGCGCGCAGGATCGCCTGGTGTTCCGTGGTGGCGAGGTTGTCCTCGAGATCCCCCTCGAGCCCGTCCTCGAGGTCATCCTCGAAGACTGTCCACGGCCTGCGTACAGATGGAGGGATTAGGCCGCTCTCCCAAGTCATGGCTGCGTCAGTCGTCTCCTCGTCGTTCCTCCTCTTTGCTCTTCGTCGTCGCCCGCTTTTTTCTTCTCGCGCTCGGGGCAGTTGGGGGTTGTTTGTGCGGCCCCCCACCGCGCGGGGTCCTCCTGCGCGTCCCCGTTGCTCGCCTCCGCCTCGACGGTGTTCTGGCGCCTGCCCTGGCTGCGCTCGGTGCGCTGCTGGTTGCCGTTCGCCTTCTGGCCGTCGTCCTTCGCGGAGCCGGCCTGGCCGTTCGCGGTGCTCACCTCCGCCTCGAAGGCGTTTAGGTGCCTGCCCTGGTTGCGCTCGGAGCGCTGCTGGTTGCCATTCGCCTCCTGGGTGCCGTCCTCCGCGGAGCGCGCCTGGCCGCTCGCGGTGCGCACCTCCGCCTCGAAGGTGTGCTGGTGCCTGCCCTGGTGGCGCTCGGTGCGCTGCTGGTCGCCGCACACGTCCTCCGCCTCCGTCTCGTTGCGCTGCTGGTTGCCGTTGGCCTCCTGGTCGTGGTCCTCCGTGGAGCCGGCCTGGCCGTTCGCGGCGCTCGCCTCCGCCTCCAAGGTGCTCTGGTGCCTGCCCTGGTTGCGTTCGGTGCGCTGCTGGTTGCCGTAGGTATCCTGGGCGCCGCCCTCAAAGGAGCTCGCCTTGCCGCTCGCGGTGCGCACCTCCGCCTTGAAGGTGTTCTGGCGCCTGCCCTGCCTCTCCGCGGCGTGCAGCTGGTCGCCGCACGCGTCCTGGGCGTCGTTGGAGCCGTCCTCTGCCTCCGTCTTGGTGCGCTGCTGCTTGCCGTTGGCGCTCGGTGCGCTGCTTGCCATTCGCCTCCTGGTCGCCGTCCTCCGTGGAGCCGGCCTGGCCGCTCGCGGTGCTCACCCCCGCCTCGAAGGTGTTTTGGTGCCTGCCCTGGTTGCGCTCGGTGCTCTGCTGGTTGCCGTAGGCCTCCTGGTCGTGGTCCTCCGTGGAACCGGCCTGGCCGTTCGCGGTGCTCGCCTCCGCCTCGAAGGTGTTATGGTGCCTGCCCTGCCTCTCCGTGGCTTCGAAAAGCTCGGCGTTGTTGCGGCGCGCTGTGGCAGCGCGCGCCGCCTCCTCCGCTGCGCGACGAAGGCAGTGGGCCGAAGGGTAGGCGACCCCAGGCGAACACTGGCGCTGCTGGTGCTGCCCCTCGTGGCCGTGCTGCGGCTGGATCGCGCCGTGCTCGAGGGGCACGAAGACGTCGGCCTCGGCCCTCAGCTTCGAACCCCATGTGGGAGGTGCTCGGGCGGCTGAGCCTCGGCCCACGCCGCGCCTTCCGCCAGCTCGCGTCAGGAGCTCCTGGTGCAGGGAGGCGGCGAGCATGGGAGGCGACGTTCCTTCGCAGTATCTTGGGATGCTCGCTGTCCTGGTCCGAGAGCTACGCGTCAAGCACGGGCGCGACGAAGGCGAGCCGCCTGGTGGTCTCAGGCGTGGCGTTGTGTAGTCACTTCCGTTCTTGCAGCCGCGCTGCTTGCTTCCATACCAATCGCTTCCGTGAGAGCCCGGCCCGATGCTGAGCCTCTCGTCGTTCGCGGTGTGACGGCCATCTGGTGCCGCCGGCCGGCCGAGCTTTGGCCGAACCCCCCGTCGCCATGCCTGCCACGCGCCATGCCATGACTGGTGAGCCAAGATGGTCCGAAAGCGGGCAAGAAATTGGCTTGAGCCAAAATGGCTACGGACCCTCCTCCTCCTCCTCCTCTTTCTCCTCTTCCTCCTCCTCCCTCTTTCCGCCTCCTCCTCCTCCTCATCCTCCTCCGCCTCCTCCTCCTCCTCCTCCTCCTCCTCCTCATCCTCCGCCCTTCCCTCCTCCTCGTCCTTCTCCTCCTCCTCCTCCTCCTCCTCCTCTCCTCCGCCTCCTCCTCCTCCTCCTCCGTCTTCTCCTCCTCCGCCTCCTCCTCATGCTCCTCCTCCGCATCCTCCTCCGCATCCTCCTCCGCATCCTCCGCATCCCCCTCCTCCTTCTCCTCCTGCTCCTGGTCCTGCTCTGGCTTCTGTTCCTGCTCCTCCTCTTCCTCTTCCTCCACCTATTACCATGCTTCTTCTTAGTAGTAGTACTACTACTATTGGCACCAGTAGTATTACGGAAAAACGTATGAAGTAGTATTGTTATAAGTAGCTTTAGCAGTATTAAGAGTAGCATTATTAATAATATTTTTATTACTACTAATAAGAATACGGATAATAATAATAATAAACATAATAATAATAAAAACAATAATAATACGAACATCAATACTAATATCACTAATAATAGTAATACTAGTAATACTAATAATAATAAAGATAACAGCCGTGTTGTTCGCATGAGCAGTATCATTATCAATATCATTATCATGGTCATTATCGTTATCAATCGTAATAATGATATTATTATTAGTATCAGTATTGGAATGGTTAGTAATACTATTATTCGTATTCCCATGAATATTATTATTATTCCTCCTCCTCCTCTTCCTCCTCCTCCTCCTCTTCCTCCTCCTCCTCCTCCTTCTCCTCCTCCTCCCTCTCCTCCTCCTCCTCCTCCTCCTCCTTCTCCTCCTCCTCCTCCTCCTTCCCCCCTCCCTCCTCAGAAGGCAGCGGGCAGCGCTCTGCCCGCCGCCGCCCGCGTCTGGCACGACCCCGCCGCGCAGGGCCGCCCGTCCACGCGTCCCGGGGCACACAGCGCTGCCCCGCTCGCAGCGGGCGGGGCTGGGCGGGGAGGCCCCGCACGGGGTTCGCGGGCGGCGCGCGGGCGGCTCGTAACCAGGCTCGAACTGATCCCGGTCCCTAAGATCGGCAAGCCAAAGGGCGATGACGATCTCAAGGATGCGCCCTCGAAAAATGAGGTAATCCTCAAGACCCGCATCGAGATGAGGCGACGCCAATCATAGGCATAGGGGCATTGCGGGGCATCCGCTCGTTCGCCCGCCACAGCAGGTTCGGGTCGCGACGACCACAACATTTCGAGTGGGGGATCGACTACAGAATTGATTTACCCCAAAATGCGATTTTGGTCGAACCTACGAAACACACGTAGGATGTTCCGTAGCTCTGCGGAGCATTCTGCACAAATTCGTGGATCCGACGGAAAATCCATGCTGGGTACATCAATTATGTAATCGATCTCCTACTTGAGCAGTGACACCACGCGGATCGTTCAACCTTGAAGAATCGGCGGCGTTTCGATCGCCAGGTCGTTCCATGTTGGCCGATGCTGGGGCACACTGGCGGCGTTCAAGCTTGAACGCCCGCGGCGGCGTTGCCGCCGCGTAGACACGGCGCGAACCTACCATGATGGAGGTCAGACTTCCGAGGGTCAGGGTCAGCGAAGGGCAAGCTGCGGAACAAAAATGCTCCTGAGCAGAACTGGCCTGGGCGAAGAATCTCCGAAAAGGAAGTGCTGAGGAAAGGCAAAAGGAGACATAGCTGTTGAGACACATACGGCCCTGAAAAAGGATAACCCAAGGAATGGAGCTTACCCTGACCCCCCCCACAGGCTGATGCCCATTGTAGCAGGCGGAGGACCCACCCAGACATCCAAAGTATGGAGCAAATCAAGACGGAGGATAGACATCGGCTACACGCCGCCAGACCTCCAACGTATAGAAAAGACAAATCGAGTTTCAAGGTTTTTCGGGCGTGTTCGTCAGTTCTTGGAGGTTTCCAAGCCTCGGATGCCTTCCATCAGCTGCACTTCGCCGAGAGCGCTCCGAGGGCGCCCGGGTCGTCCCCAACGGCCACCAGAGAATCGAGGTGGGACCCGAAAACCAACCCCTCTTCCATGGAAAAACCAACACAATGATTTTCCTTAGTTTTCGGCGACTCTGGAGGCCCTCGCCGGGCCGCTGGACCGTCACAAAGAACTGCCCGGATTCGAAGCCGGCCAGGGGGAAAGGGTCGGGACTCCTGGATACCACACATCTGGATCATCAAGACATCGGATGTCTGGGCTGAGCGCTTAGCCTGCCGCGCGCTCCCTGAGCGGTTCTGAAAGGTCCGACAGTCCGACAGTCCGACCACTCTTCCTCCGAGGAGGATGAGGAGGGGGAGGGGGAGGAGGGGGAGGAGCAGGAAGTGGAGGAGGACCCTGACTGAGATTGGGGCGTTCATCTCTTTCATACCGGGCGCTTTCGCCAGGCTTCGGGCCCAGGGACCACCACGGGCCGGATTCTGCCCGAAAAGGGCAGCAGAAAGATGGGGTCTCTAGGGCCCTGGCTGCGATTTTTCGCGACGCTACATGTTTTCTCGCGACGTCGAACCTCAAGGGAGGAGGAGGAGGAGGAGGAGGAGGAGGAGGAGGAGGAGGAGGAGGAGGAGGAGCTGGCACCCCGGGCGGAGGGTCCCTGGGCAGCCTCGCGAGAAAGGGAACAGGGGATTGGCACGCCCACAGCGCGGGCGGGCGATTTCTGCTCCCGCCCTGGTCCTCAGCACCCTCGAGCAAGTGGTGGCGACATCCAAACCACACCCCGACCATCCATCGATGTTCCTGAATCGATGGGAGGCGTGGGTAGGATTCGGACTTCGCCATGGGCCCGACGAATTTCGAACCCTGCCCCCGCCGCCCACCGAGTTGCCTGAATCGTTGATCGCCCAGGGTGAGGTTCGGACTTCGCCGCTGATCCCTTAGGTGGTGGCGATTCCCGAGAGAAAGCGTTTCCTGGACCTTGCCTGGAAAAAACCGATGGACACGTTGGAACCAGGGGGGGGCACCCCCCACCCCAAAACATCGAGCGCCCCTGGAAAACCAGGGGGGCATCCCCTGGACATCCTCCCTGACCGTGGGGGGAGCCCAGGGTTCGAACCCGGGGGGGTGGCCATGTCCAAGGGCGGGGATTCGAATCGGGCCCCCCCGCTTCCTTGCTACAAGAGGGGGGTCGCACCAGGGCCTGCCCCCTCACCTCCCCTGCCACCGACCTCGGCGAGCGCAGGCGCAGGCGAGGCGCTGGCGCCGTCGGGCAGCGCCGACGACGCCAACGCCGACGCACACGCCGACGCCGACGCCGACGCCGACGCCGCCGCCGCCGACGACGACGACACCGACGCCGACGCGGGCGACGATCGTCATCGACATCATCATCATCATCATCATCATCATCATCATCATCATCATCATCATCATCATCATCATCATCATCATCATCATCATCATCATCATCATCATCATCATCATCATCATATTATTCATATTCATAATCATCATCGTCCACCATCGTCCTCTCAGCACCACCACACCGGTGCGAGCTACATCGCAGCACCATCACTTCATCAGCATCGTGATCATCATCATCATCAGCATCATTATCATCATCATCATCATCATCATCATCAGCATTCATCATCATCTCACCATCATCATCATCATCATCAATCATCAATCATCAGCACATCATCATCATCATCATCATCATCATCATCATCATCCTCATCATCATCATCATCATCAGCAGCAGCATCAGCATCAGCATCATCATCCTCATCAGCATCGTCAGCATCATCATCAACAACACCATTATCGTCATCAACAGCATCATCATCCGCACAATCATCATTATCACCATCATCATCATCATCATCATCAGCAGCAGCATCGTAATCATCACCATCACCATCATCATCATCCTCATCAGCATCACCATCACCATCATCATCACCATGACCATCATCATCATCATCATCACCAGCAGCAGCATAATAATAATCATCGTCATCATCGTCATAATCGTCATCGTCATCAGCATCATCAACAGCATCATCACCACCACCAACATCATCATCGGCAGCTTCACCATCGGCATCGTCATCGTCATCATCATCATCATTATCATCAGCAGCATCATCATTACCACCACCACCATCAACCTCACATCATCGACCTCATCATCATCGTCATCATCATCACCATCGGCAGCATCATCATCAGCATCATCATCAGCAGCAGCGGCATTATCATCAACGTCGTTAGTATCGTCCTCGTCCAGCTGGCACGCGAGAGACTCAACGAGCGGGCCTCTTGGAGCGGGCTGGGCCCTGACGAGCGGGTCGGCATCCCTGGGCGGCACATAAATTATGGAGAATCACATGGTGCATCGTCCGACTGGCACACGAGAGCCCCATCGCCCAGCACTTTTCGAGCAGGCAGGGCCCTCACGGACGGGTCGGGCCAGTCGGCCGGCTGTCACGCGAGAGCCGCAACGGCCAGGCCTGGTCGAGCGTGCAGGGCCCTCACGGGCGGGTCGGGCGGGGTGAGCGGGACATTCAAGCACGAAGTAAAGTGTGCTGCATCGTCCAGCTGGCACGCGAGCCACAACGGCTTTGCGTTGTCGAATGGGCAGGGCCCTCACGGGCGGGTCGGCTCGGGCGGGCGAGACATCGAAGCATGGTGTGCAATCTGCTGCATCGTCCAGCTGGCACGCGAGAGCGCCAACGAGCGGGCCTTTTCGAGCGGGCGGGGCCGTGCCCTCACGGGTCGGGTCGGCTCGGGCGGGCGGGGCGTGAAAGTATGGATCGCAGTACTTGCATCGTCCGGCTGGCACGCGACAGACCCAAGGGCTGGACCTTGCCGGGCCCTCACGGGCGGGCGGATCGGGCGGGCGGGACACGAAAGTGTGGAGTGCAAGACGTTACGTCGTCTAGCTGGCACGCGAGAGCCCCAACGAGCGGGCCTCCTCGAGCGGGCCAGGTGCCCTCACCAGCAGGTCGGCTCGGGCGAGCGGGACATTAAACTATGGCACAATATGCTGCATTGTCCGCCTGGCACGCGAGAGCTCCAACACGAGGGATCCGACGACGTCGTCGTCGACGTCGTCGTCGTCGGCGTCGTCGGCGGCGGCGGCGTCGGCGTCGTCGTCGTCGGCGTCGGCGTCGGCGTCGGCGTCGGCGTCCGCGTCGGCGTCGACGTCGGCGTCGGCGTCGGCGCCGGCGTCGTCGTCGGCGCTGCCCGACGGCGTTGGCGCCTGCGCAGGCGCTCGCCGTCGTCAGTTGCAGCGGGGGTTGGGGGGGGGGCCTTGTTCGAACCCCCCCCCTTGCAATTCAGGGGGGGGCCTTGTTCGGATCCCCCCCCTTGCAATTCAGGGGGGGCGCCCCCCCGCCGTGCACCCCCCTTCCTCCTCCCAGTGTCCGCAGAACGCCCCCTTTAACATTCGAGCCCTACCCCCACCCACCATCGATCTGTCTGAGTCGATAGGAGGCGGGGGTAGGGTTCGGACTTCGCCACGGGCTCGACGAATTCTAAACCCTACCTCCGCCGCCCATTTAGTTGCCTGAATCGTTGATCGGCGAGGGTATGGTTCGGACTTCGCCGCCGATCCCAAAGTATACCTAAGATCGACAAGCCCAAGGCGACGACAACCTCAGAGATGCACCCTCAGAACCTCGGCGCACCCTGGAGATCGGTACCGAAATACGGCGGCGGCGATCTGAGGGATAGGGACGTGTCGCAGGCTGAGCAGGTCCCCCCGAGAACAAGGCGGGCGCCCCCACCCGCCCTTGCCCCGCTCAGCGGCGGCCCTTCCCGGACGCCGACCGGCCCTTCCCCGCGGCCAGCTTGCCCCGGGGCTCCCCGGGCGCCCGGGTCCAGTTGACCTCCTGGGCCCACACCTTGACGTCCCTGAGGGTCCCTCGGAAGCCCTGGAAGTAGAAGCCCGGCGTGTGCCCAGCGTGGTGGTTCCCAACTGTGAGGTGGGGGCGCTCCAGGTAATTGGGGACCTGGCCGTCGGGCTTCTCCGCGAGCAGTTCCCCGTCCCGGTAGACCCTCATCGTTCCAGTGGCGGAGATCGTGAACAGCACCGTGACCTCTCTCTCGAGCTCGAAGAAGTCTTCTACGACCAGCGACGTGCTGCTGGCGCCCAGGGAGCTCGAGAAAAACAGGTCGAAGCCGTAGTCCACGCTGCCCGCGCCGATGGTTTCCCAGTTGGGCGTGAGCGAAAAGTCGAAAATGCGGGTCCACGCCTGCAGATGGTCCATCTGCATGGTGACCATGAAGGAGAACGCCCCGCCGAGCCACTGGGTGAGCCCCGCGTCCACCAGGTTCACTGGGTTAGCCTTTGGGACGCCCGAGATGGGTACGGAGAAAATGGGCACGAGGCCCAACGAATGTTGTCCAAATCCGACAGCGGCTGCTGTTGGGCAGACGGCTTGCTGTCTCAAGTAGATCACGTCCGCGGGGACGCCGACAGCAAACCTTAGTCCAAATGTACAGCAAATGCTGCCGGTCTTCGTACGGCCAGACCTAGGACAGAAGAACACCATTGAAGAAACATGAGAGTATCCGCTGGCCAAACCGAAGAACCTTCGAGGGTGCCCTCCTCCAGGATGCACAAGAACGCCCCTACAGACATGAAAAACATCAGGGTACCCTCCCCGAACCGACTCCGATCTTATACCTCGGTCCAACCGTACCAATGGGGTAGGGGGAGAGGGGAATGCTTCTTGGAAAGAGGCACTTCTCAGATTCGCCGGCCCTGCACCTATAGACAAGGCCCGCGCCTTCCAAGAAGCAGGGCGCTCCTAAGAAGCCTTCCCTACGTCCCAAGCCCCCGACGTCATATTTTCATCATACAGTCGAACCGAGACGTCTCCATCCATTTCCCTGGACCGGTGTTCAGTCTCGACGCCAGGTAAAGGCCCCCAGGGGCCGAAAATAGCGCAAAACCTCCGTCTGCATTGACCCCCCTGTGCGCATTGCCGACCCTTCTTTCCGTATCCATTCCTCGCCATCGCTCGGACGTCCACTCCCCGTGCGTTTGCTCGATGTCGTGCGCATCTTTCTTTTTCCCACGATGATCAAGGATGCTCCTCGAGGGTCCTCGCCGAGAAAGATGCACACGTCCGAACGATGCCAAGGTTTCGATCGCACCGGGGCCTCGCCGAAGGGCCCCGGCAGCGAGATGGCAGGCGGCGTGGTCTGCCAGGGCGCCGCCCCCCGCGGCTGGCCGGGGGGCAGCGCCACCGTGCGCGGGCGGGGCGGCGGGGGCCCGGGGCAGGTCGAGAACCACCAGGTGAAGAACAGCTCGCGGGCGGGCGAGTAGTCGGCCATGCCCAGGTCCTTCTTCTTGGGCGGCGCGCAGAGGGGGGGTACAGGGGGAGAGAACGGAAGGATGCTGAGGAGGCTGCGTCCGAGAAGGCGCGGGCCTTGCACCTACAGACCAGGCCTGCGCCTTCTGAGAAGCAGGGGTGCTTCTAAGAAGCCTTCCTCCCTCCCCCTACCCCCCTCTGCGCGTGGCCGAATTTTTGGTCAGAAACGGGTCTTCCGAGAGATGACGAAGCGACCTTGCGCCGCGACTTACGCGGGCTGCGAGCGCGGCACGCTACATTGGAAGCGAGGGCGCTTACGTGCGGGCTTACGCGAGCAGCTTACGTGCGAATGTCGGCGCCGTGGGACCCTTTATATGTCGGTTACCAGCATGGACAAACTCCAAACTGCACATCCTGACCGGCCATGCGAGGCAAAGAGTCGCCAGAAAAACCGGGGTGCAGCCCACAGCCCACGGGCCAACTGGCCATGCCCAGGTCCTGGGCTGACTTCCTGGGGGGCGTCGGGAGGCAGAGTCCAGGAGCAGGAATCGGGATCGCGCAAGACTACTCGAAGATGGGCGCAAGTGGCTCTTTACGTTTTGAAATGATGGGTCGGGAAGAGCTGGATATCGCACACTCGATGACTGCTGGAGAGGTTGCGTTTTCGACCATGGACCTCTTGTTTACACATCGGTCCTGGGCGGTCTTCGGCCTTCTTCGGCTGTCTCACGGTCTTCGGCGGCCTTCGGTGATCCTCGGTGATTTCTGGCGGTCCTCGGACGGTCTTCAGCGGTCTTCAGTGGTCGTCGGTGGTTTCTGGCGGTCTCTTCGGCGGTTTCTGGCGGCCTTCGGCGACAAATCTGGATGGCTGCATTCAACAAGGGGTCCATGACCCAAACGTGCGATGTCCTGATTATTTCGACACGGGGTCCCATGGAAACCCCAACCCTTTCCCTGGGACTGGTTCTCATACAGGAGACCGGTGAGGGCCCAGGCCAAAAAAGGACAAAAACACCGCGTCCTGATTTGTTTCAGGATGCGAGATCCAGCACCAAAGAGAGAAAATCCAAAAAGAGCTGAAGGTACCCTGAGATCCGACGTTGCAAAACAAAAACATGCAACATCGCAAAAAATCACGACCAGAGCCCTGGACCCCATCGCTCTGCGTCCATGTTCGAGCTGGATCGATCTGCCTGGGTCCCGGGGCCCGAAACCGGGCGAAAACGCCCGGGGCGACAAAAACTGCAGCGCCAGAGGTCTCAGGGCAAATGCTGCTCGCGCGTGCTTCCCCCAGCTCTTCGCAGCCCGCCCCCGCAGACGGGTCCTGTCGGAACGTCTCGGAGCACGTCCAGGACACCGCCGCCACCCCGACGGTGCCGGACAGCGCCAGCGCCTCGTCGACGTCGAAGAACAGGCACCTCGGAGGAGGGCCCGCCGAGACCCAGCGACGCCCGACGTCGTGACTTTTCCACAGAGCGGTTCGCCACGGGTCTGGACCTCCTCCTGTGGACCAGCTCCCCAGAACCCCCTCGTGCTGTAAGCTTTATCGCGACGGGAGGCTTTTCGCTATTTTGGGCATCTGGGGGCCCTCACACGGCCTCGGGACCGTGAAAACAAGACTCGGGATGAAAACCCAGTCCCAGGGAATGGGTCCAGACCTGTGGGGGTCGCGTCATGAAAAATCATGACGTCGGGGATCTGAGTCTTCCCCCTGGGCTAGGAGGCAACATCTGGGAGGTCTTCGTCGAGAGGATCAGGAAGAATGAAACCCCACTGGGTGGTTGCCACGCCGGATTAGGCCGCGGATTAATCGGGATGAAGCCAGATTTCAGACCAAGGCAACATTAGAATTTGACCTCCCAGGAGTTGCATCAAAACCTGGGTACGTAGCTGCTTGACGGTCCTGGGGCCCGGAGAGCGCCCCTGGCGCCCGAAAATTAACAAAAACCTGCCGTCGGAAGTTTTCACAACGAGAGGATGTCCGGGGACAACAGCCGTTCCCGCCTGGCCCAGGTCTGCTCACAACCGGTCCCCAGACCCCTACTGGGATCCCTACTGGGATCCATCCTGACCCGCTCTTCAAAGGCAAGATGAGCCAGCATCGAACCGGACGGACGGACGGACGCCGATGCCGCGGCGGGGAGCGGCCGCGCGCCGCGAGGGCGACGGCGGGGGGGCCGTAGCCCCTAAGATGTGCAACTGCGCGTTTGGTCTCCTCAGCTCTGGTTTGTTGTCGGGTTGGAGCTTTCACCAGTAATTAGCAGGAGCCTCATCGGATTGCCTTGTTCCCGGAACCGCGTTGCTGCCTTTATGTGGTTTGTCCGTGGCCTTGGGCGGTGAACTCCTGAGTTGTCCCTTCAAGATCTCATCAAACGGCGTCCGCGCTGTTGGCGTTGGTGCCGGAGGGGGTCGGAACAGGTGCCGGAATTGATGTCGGGGTCGGGGCTGAGGCTGGAGCAAATGTCCTCGTAATCATTGGCCATTTCTTGTCTTGCGTGATTTTTGTTTCCCATGCCGGCCCATGCGTCTATTTTCCTTGACTGGAGCTGGGGAGGTCGGTTCGACTGTGACCGACCCGTCGGCGCCGGCGTCGAAGCTGCTGGTCACGGTGCTGGAGTCGGCGAGCTGGTCGATGCGGGAGTCGGCGGGCAGATCGGCGCGGGAGTCGGCGAGGTGGTCGGCGCGGGGGTCGGCGAGGTGGTCGGCGCGGGATTCGGTGAGCCGGTCGGCGGCGGAGTCGGCGGGCTGGTCGGTGCGGGAGTCAGCGAGCGCGTCGGGGAACCAGTTCACTCACGTCCTTGTGGGAACCACGATGGAAAAGGCGCGTACTCGGCACAATCGACATTCACTTTATCTCCGGCTCCATCGTCGGTGTCTGAGCAAGTATGCGGAGTGGGCGCTGCCGTGGGAACCGGGCAGGAGATGGTCAGAACCGAACCTCTCATAGATGACGTACCAAGATATGACAGCGGCCAGATCTGGACGTAGCGCGCCTTCTGCATGGACCGAATACAAAAAAAAACTGCACTGTGGTGTCCCGATCGGAACGACCAATCGGAATGACCCATCATGTGTCACTTCCGTATCGCTATCGCCTGGCCAGTCCGAGACGTTGTGGATGACACCCTCACCTGGTGGAGCCGCTTCGCTGTCGCAGAAAGCGCCGGCAGCTCTTTGAAAGTTGCCAAGCCGAAGGGGGCAGAGGCGGATATCGCGTAGGACCTGCTGTTCCAAGCTGTCGACACCTAGATATGAGATATCATTATTTACAGAACTTTGCGGGCATACCAACCCTCCAAAGCAAATTGCAGCGATTGGCCGGCCATCTGCCAGAAAATACGTAGAGTCTATCTCGCGCGCCCTTCCCAACAACGTTCCACTCAGTTGTGCTAGTGCGCTGCCGATGACAAACTCAACACAATCCTCCAAGGGAGAAGCATCCCCGGAGATCGTGATATCGCGGTGTTTGGGGATGTCTCTGTGCGGAAGCTCCTCTGGCTGCTGCGTGGGCCGCGGAAGTTTCGCCCTGAAAGTGATTCATGAAGGATGGTTCTCCTCAACGGCGTTCGAAATTTCAGGCATGAGCAGAGGCGCACCTGGATTAAGAGCGCGTGCTAACACGTCACGAACTTCAGAAAAACAAGATTGACCAGATTTGAGCAAGTGCGTGAGTATCGCGCTGTGTCCCGCAGCGTGACGAACAGCAACCCTTCGATTTCGCAATGTCCGACGTTTGCTTCGTGACGGTGGATTCGTTCCAGACCGAGAATTCACACAAGGACGCACGCCAAAGGCGGCACAAGGTGAGACCGTAACCATGGGCGCAAAATGCTAGCAATGAAAGGGATGCCTAAGCCAATCTTGAGTCAATATTGAGCCAGCATCGACTTGGGATGTCGAATTGAATCGGAATGTGCGTCGGATCGGGCTGCGTCGGCACGGACGCCGGGGTCGAAGCGGATCGGCCGCGCCAGGATGCACAACAATGGCATGTAAGCATCGGGCCGCATCTAATCGTCGGACTATTGGAATCCCAAACATCCGATGTTTCGATTTGCTTCACACGTGGTCCCCGAAATCCCGACCCTTTCCCTGGGGCCAATTCTCATCCCGAGTCGCTCTTTGACGGTCCTGGGGCATGGAGAGGCCCCCAAGAGGCCGAAAATTGAGGAAACCCTGCCTTGATGTCTTCAATACGTTGGAGGTATGGGATCGAATCGGGTCGGGTCGGTCAGAATCGATATCGAATCGGATTGATCGGATCAAAAAGGACCCACCCGCGCGACGCGACGCCTCCAGGAGGCCCCAGGACGCCTTTGAGTCATGACTCGGATTTCCAGCGGCCGTTCGGCACGGTTCGGGCATCCCTGGAAAGCTCTCGGCGAGGCGCAACTGCAGGAAAACACCCCGAGGCTGGGAACCCTCCAGGGAATTCCGAAACGCTCCGAACAACTGCCCAAAACATCAAAAATCTGAATATTTCCCAGGGCCTGTTTTTCATCACGAGTCGTTCTGCGACGGTCCTGGGGCCCTGCCAAAAAAATGTCGCAAAACCGGCCGTCGTGATTTTTGTGACGACGCGAGGGGAGGTTTGGCTTTCGGGTCCCGACCCGGGTCTCCGGCAGCCGTTCGGGAGGATCCGGGCACACCTGGAAAGCTCTCGGCGAGGCGCAACTGCTGGAAGGCAGCCCGAGGCTGGAAAGCCTCCAAGAACCGACGAAGACGCCGAAACCTCCAAAGCCGACGCGAGCACGATTAGCGTTGAAAGCACCCCTAACCATTTGGGAGCGGACCTAAGTTAGGAGGTCCAAAACTTCGCGGATGGGAGGTCTTCGCTGCAGATGGTCCCTGACGCAGAAGAAGGGCACCTCGGTGAGGCGAACGCCTTCGTTGTATTGTTAGGGTCCGAGGTTCTTTGTGTGCTCCCGAACAGAGTATGCCACCAGAGCCCGCGCCTCCTCCTCCTCCTCCTCCTCCTCCTCCTGCTCCTGCTTCCCCTCCTCCTGCTCCACCTCCTCCTCCTCCTCCTCCTCCTCCTCCTCCTCCTCCTCCTCCTCCTCCTCCTCCTCCTCGCACGTCGCTGCGAACAAGTCCTCAACTCCTCATCGCCTACCGCTGGCCCTGGCCACCTGCACCTTAGTCAGGGGCACGGCCTGCCGCGCCCATTCCTCGCTGAAAGCCCTCGGGGGCAGGTAAAGTGAGCGAAGGTTGACAAAAAGCACATCGGCGGCGGCGGGGACGGACAAACTAGACTGTGTCGGAAGGAAAATACAAAATCGACAGATCGGGCAACTGTGAACATCATTCGAGAGAACAGCGCGGAGGAGGTCAAGGAAGCGGGGACATGTCCAATCATGCACAAACGAATCACAAGCCTGACAACCGAGCATGCAGGAGAGAGTCCCCCTCCTCCTCCTCCTCTTCCTCCTCCTCCTCCTCCTCCTCCTCCTCCTCCTCCTCCTCCTCCTCCTCCTCCGCCCCCTCCTTCTCCTCCTCTTCCTCTTCCTGGCAGGCCTCCACAGCCAGGCCAGGAAGACGACGCACGCGGCGGCGCAGGCGCAGAGTGCCCCCGCCCTCGCCATGGCGGGCCGGCGCGGGCGGCGCGCCGGCCGCCCCTCGGGAGCGCCCGCGCGCTCTCCCCACCCGACGGCCGCCCGGGCTGCGAGGAGAGCGGCCGCGGCGGCAGGCGCACGGTGTCGCCCTCGAGGGGCACGTGTTCCAACATCACCACCACGGGCAGGGCGGGGAAGGAAAGAGGAAGGGAAGGGCCTCCTCCTCCTCCTCCTCCTCCTCCTCCTCCTCCTCGTCCTACCTACTATGGTAGTGGTGGTGTAAAATCGGCCTATCAGCCCTGACGAAAACCCAGGCCTCCGACATTTTGAAAAAATGGTTCCAGCGTCGATCCCAAATATGCGCACTGCTCGAGAACAAAGGCACCTGGCCCACAGCTGGCTACTGTGAGGGTCGCCACTTGTTGAGGGCCCAGGCGCCCGGTCCACAGCTGGACCACAGAGCTGGCAGCCGACAGAGGCCTGGACCACAGCGAAAGGGGGGGGGTGATGGGCAACGATAGGGGGGGACCAAGCCAGGGGGGAAACATTGAGCTTGCATCGGCGATACATCGCCGATAGATCGGCGATCGGCCCCCGATAGCGAAACCGCACGGTCCTTACAGGGGTGGGCTAGCAGGCCCCCCTCTCGGCGACCAATGCACCTAGCAGGTCCCTCTCCATGCTCAAAAAAAAAGGATGTGTAAGGTTTTCATGCGTCTCCGTCAGTTGTTCTAGGTTTTCAAGCCTCGGGATGCCTTCCAGCAGCTGCGCCTCGCCGAGAGCGTTCTGGGTGTGCCCGGATCCTCCCGAACGGCCACCAGAGACCCGAGCTAGGATCCGAAAATTACACACACACACACACACACACACACACACACACACGCACACACACACACTCACACACACACACACACACACCTCGCGTCGTGAAGGAATCACGATCGGCGGGCTTGGCGAATTGTCATGCCTCTGGGGCCTCGCCGAACCCCGTGACCAACAAAGAATGGCTCGGGATGAGGAACTGGGGGGAGGGAAATGATCTGAACCTCTGGGGAGCCGAGTCGTGAACAAACAAAAACAAGGCCGGAGGTCGGGGAAGGTTGGCTGATGCCAGCTTTCCGGAGAAGGGCCCGTCGAGACAGCGGCGGCCCTCCCTGGCGTTTTGTCCGTCCTTTCGGGGCCCTCCTCGAGGCTTCGCGTATCCGCTGCTGGATCCGCCTCGGAAGACTTGTCGGGATGGACCCCAGGAGGAGTCCTGGGACCGACTTTGAGCGGACGCGTGCCGGGCGGGAGAGCCGTCGCTGTCTCAACAGGCCATCCTCCGAGCTTCGGCTCTTCGCGCCTTCCCTCTGCAGCGCCCACTGCCAGTCCGGAGCAGGTGCCATTCTCAGACTCCCTTCCGCTCCTCCCACCGTCCCATCCTCCTTCGTCTCTCCTCCCGCCAAGCCTGAACTGAGTGTTACCTCAGTTCCGAGAGCTTTCTCGGGTGCTCCCGCGGCCCCCGCCCATGAGCAGCGAACGGCGGCCCTGGCAGCCAGAGTTCAAGCTGAAGGCGAAGCGAGGGCCTCAGGGGGATCTAACTTGGGTCGATCCCCCTCACGCTTTTGGTGTTGTCACCTTCCGACCTTCAAAGCGCTGTCCATCCATCCATCCGTCTCTCCCTCCCTCCCTCCATTCTTCCCCTTCTGCCCTTCCTCCAACCCCCCCATCCCCTCGTCCCCATACCTTCCCTGGGCTCAGCAAACCCGCCTGCGCCGGCTGTTCTCAGCAGCCGATCGCAGCGAGAGAGCCTCGGCGGCAGTGGCACCTAGGGCCAGCGTGCGGAAGCGGCGGCGGCGGCGACAGCTGCAAACAGCAGACAGCAGCTGGCTATGTGGGGGCAGCGGCAACGGCCGAAGCCAGCAGCGGCGGCGGCATCCAGCAGCCTGCGGCTACCAGCTGCAGCGACAGAAGCCCTCCTTGGCACTGCCCGAGCGAGGGACAGACCGTGATCAAGCAGCCGCTGCTGATCCGAGGATCGGCGAAAGCTTTGGCCGTGACATGATTGCGTGGTAACTCGTGCCAATCTCGAAGCAGCGAGCGGCCTCCTCAGCGCGCGGGATCGAGAGGGGGAGTTCACAAACTCGAGAGGAAGACTCTGGGAATCGGTCATTCTTGAGATGAGAAGATAGGTCCCATACAGAGGGCAGGTGACATGGCAGGAAAACATGTGGCACGCGCGCACTGAAGGGGAGTCTCGTGGGGCCGAGTGGCAGACAGGAAACAGGAGTAGAGGGGAACCCAAGGGGGCGACGAACTAACGACGACGAAAGAAAAAGGCTCTACTACTACTACTACTACTACTACTACTACTACTACTACTACTACTACTACTACTACTACTACGACTACTACTACTACTACTACTACTACTACTACTACTACTACTACTACTACTACTACTACTACTACTACTACTACTACGAGCTACTGCTATCCTCACGCAGATCGTGACGTCAGGGTCCGAAAACACATGGGAATTTCAATATCTTAACATAAAACCTTCAAAAAGACATTGTAATTTCAATAAGTTTGACCCCGATTCTTAGAGAATGGCGGTTTCGCCTGAGACATCCTCCCAAAACCGAGCCCCGACGTACCATCTGGTACCCCAGACCCCGCCTCGGAGCCTCCTGAGGGCCTCCTGGAATCTCCTGGGGCCTCCTGGGGCTTTCTGTGCCTTCTGGTACCCAAGACCCCGCCTCGGAGCCTCTTGGGGGTCTCCTGGAACCTCCTGGGGCCTCCTGGGGCCTCCTGCGGCCTCCTGGAGCTTCTTGGGGCCTCCTGGAGCCTCCTGGGGTCTCCTGGGGCCTCCTGAGGCCGCCTGGGGCCTCCTGGGGCCTCCTGGGGCCTGAGAACTACATGCACGCACAGAGACACAAATCACACCCAACACATCACACGCGAGACAAACATAACACACACGCACACACACACACACAACACACACACACACACCTACAACGCACAGAAAACACGCACAACACAGAGCACACATCACACACACACACAACACTCACAATCCCGGGGCCTCATGTAGCCTCTTCCGGTATCCAAGTCGGGCCTCCTGAGGTTTCCTCGGGGGGCCCTGGTACACACATCGCAAGGTGTGGCAACCCCACTTGCGCTCTAGTGCGACCTCGATCTTAGATTCTTCTGCGTTCACCTCCTCCCTCTTCCCCTTCTCTTAGGCACGCCCTGGCGGCGCCGCCCAAGCTTCCCCTTCTCCATCTCCGATCCCGCAGTCATGGTGTCTTCCTGCTTCGAACGCCCTTTCAGTTTATTGTATGAGCCTGGGCACACACGTGCCGCTTGAAATAATAGTAGTACTACTACTAGTACTCCTACGCCTACTCCTACGCCTACTACTACTACTACTACTACTACTACTACTACTACTACTACTACTACTACTACTACTACTCCTACTCCTACTCCTACTCCTACTACTACTACTACTCCTACGACTACGACTACGCTACGGCTACTACTACGACTACGACTACGACTACGACTACGACTACTACTACGACTACACTATACTACTACTACTACTACTACTACTACTACTACTAACTCTACTCCTACTCTACTCCTACTCCTAGCTCCTACTCCTACTCTCCTACTCCCTCTCATACTTCTACTCCTACTACTACTACTACTACTACTACTACTACTACTACTACTACTAACTACTACAGACTATACTACTATACTACTACCTACTCTCTCATACTACTAACACTACTACAATACTACTACTACTTATTACAGCTCTACTACTACTACTACTACTACTACTACTACGACTACTACTACTACTACGACGACGACGACGACGACTACTACTACTACTACTACGACTACTACTACTACTACTACTACTACTCTTACTACTACTGCTCATACTACGTCTACTACAATTACGACTACGACTACGACTACTACTAAAAACTACTACAACAACAACTACTACTACGAATACTACGACTAATACCACTACTACTACTACTACTACTACTACTACTACTACTACTACTACTACTACCACTCCTACAAGTACTCCTACTCCTCCTCCTACTACTACTACTACTACTACTACAACTACTACTACTACTACTACTACTCCTACCTACTACTACTCCTGCTCCGACTGCTACTACTACTACTACTACTACTACTGCTGCTATACTACAACCTATTGTAACTAGTACTCGTAATACTCCTACTCCTAACTCTACTCTACTCTACTCCTACTCCTACTACTACTACTACTACTACTACTACTACTACTACTAATAAGCTACTGCTCCTAGCTACTACTACTACTACTCCTACTACTACGAGGCTACTATTGCTACGACCTCACTGCTACTACTAAACTACTACTCTACTACTACATCCTATACTACTACTACTACTACTACTACTACTCTATTACTACCCCTACTCTCTACTACTACTACTACTACTCTACTACTACCTACTTACTCACTACAACTACTACTACTACTACTACTACTACTACTACTACTACTCCTACTACTACGACTACTACGACTACTACTACGACTACTACGACTACTACGACTACTACTACAACTACGCTTATTACTACTACAAACATTTCTACCACGACTACTACGACTACAACCACGACGGCGACAACTACTACTACGAGAAATGCTGCGACTACGAATACGAGAACGACTACGATTACGTTTACGACTACGACTGCGACTGCGACTACGACTACGACTACGAACGCTACTACAAATACTACTACGCCCACGGCTGCTATTACGACCACTACTCTTACTACTACGACTACTACTGATGCTACTACTACTACTACTACGGCTACTAGTACGACTACTACTACTACTACTACCACTACTACTACTACTACTACTACTACTACTACTACTACTACTACTACTACGACTACTACTACGACGACAGCGGCGACTACTACAACTACTACTACTACTACTACTACTACTACTACTACTTCTTCTACTACTACTACTACTACCACTACTACTACTACTACTAAACTTTACAACGTCG